ATTCATATGATCTCGAAATGAAATTCTAAATCTTGAACATTGAAAGTGAAAAACATCGAAATAGAGACATGAAAACTTTGAGTATCTGGCTGCCATTAAATTTTTTAAAAATAAAAATATAACACTGCAAAGAACCTTGAAAATTGTGAGTTATGCTATATCTCATGACAATCTAACCTGAGAATACATACAAGGCTCGAATGATCTTTTCAGCATCTCTTTTCAGCTTGTTCTTCAAGTTATACATATGAATCAGAATGCACGTAGATGTTTGATCCTTCAAATTCGCTGCACATTTGGTGACTTCTTGCCAAACCGAGTTATTTAGGAATCCTTTTATGCAATGAAGCTGTAATCGAATCTTATAGTTAATTGTAGGGTATTTTTCTGAAATGACATGCCAATTTGTTTCATATTTCGATTCTATGACTGAAACTATGCCAAACTGCCAAGTTTGGTAAAAATCGCACAAGTAGGTTTTAAAAAAAATTGTTAAATTGAATTTGATATATATTTTTTAATACCTTAATTTCCGGAAGAAAGGTCGCATCAGCGTAAACGTGGAGAAAAATGGCGGGAAAAAAATTTAAATTACACAGAAACACCGCAATAAATTAAATTGCGCATGATATCGTCGTGGGCTGTATAGATGCAAAAACTCAACCTAAGTCCTGATATATGACATACCAGTTAAGAAAAATGCATGAAATGAAACCATAACTCAAAAATAAATTAAAGGTAAGAAATGTGGAAATTATATTTACCTTCACGTATATACTTATATTTACCCACTAAAGAAGTCCATATTTGTAATACTCAGACTATATTATAAAAAATGTTGCAACAACGAATTATTAAATTTCGATGACAAAAGGAAATTTTAAATTTTACTTACGAATTACAGCAAACTATACATCATATGAAGCCATCAAAATCTGATTCTTCACTATCTGAATTAAAAAGATTTAGTAAATCCTGATCTAAGTCTTCCAGATCGTCGCATTCATCCTCTTGGTTTACAGTCTCTTTATCTAAGCATATAATTTCAGCTTCTTTGAACCCTGTTATTATTGATGATGTTTCTACCGATTTCCACGCACTTCCTGCCCACTTTGCAATTTCTTCATATGATGCTCTACGCATTTTACCGCTTTTGGTTTACATATGCAATCCTTCACTCATCCAATACTCCCACCACTTTCGGACTTCAGCTTTGAAGGATTTATTACCTGACAAATCTAATGGTTGTAAGATTTTTGTCAAACCACCAGGAATTATTGCTTCGTTCGTAGACAATTTTTGACATCTGGTTTTCACTGACTCAAAGAAATGAGCACGCATGGAATCCATTATCAATAACCCCTTCGGTTGGAAAAAAGATCCCATACGACACTGCCAAACATTTTGTAGCCACTCGTGCATGATTGTTTCGCACATCTAGCCGTTCTCGTTTGCACAAATAATTACGTCATTAGGAAAATCTCCCTTCGGAATAGTCTTTTGTTTAAAAATGATCATCGGCTTTAGCTTGTCACCGTTTGCGGCACAAGCTAACACGCATGTAAATGACGTTTTTTCTTGCCCTGTCATAAACACAGATACAGTTTTTGCACCAGTTTCATCAACAGTTCTGTTTGCAGGAGAGTCGAAAGCTAACGGCATTTCATCCATATTTATTATCTGTGACCGAAGAAGTCTTTTTTTTTGTCAATAATAGCTGTCACATATTTTAGAAAAGATGACTTTTTATCCTGCCAGTCCATTGGTAATCGTTGCCCGACTATTGTTCTAGTACGCACAGAAATATTTCTTTTCATAAATCTGCTACACCAGCAAGGCCCTCATTTTAAATCATTTATGTTCATTTGTTTTTGCCTATAAATTTTGCTTGTAAGCAAATTTTTACAGTCTGAAGTTGCCATTCCCTTTCCTCGGTTGCTTCCTTTATCCAATTTGCAAGGTCGTCCTCTAGATTCGGCCACCTTACAGTACCACTTCTTTTAGCTTTCTTTTCTGTTGTGACATATTTTTAAGGTAGTTTCTTTTTCAGTTCTCCAATGTCGAATGCATCTGTCGTCCACCTTCAAACTCTCGAGCTGCTGCTCGATTTCTAATTTGTTCAGCACGTGAAACTTACATTAAGCTTAAAACCAGCAGTATAGCTTCTGTGCCGTTTAGGTGACCATTTTCAAAAAATTTACCGCTCCCTTCTTACTTAAAAACTTATCCAACAAATACCTTGTACCCAAACTGATGGGATCTGTATCTGGCAGAATGCCAAGAAAAATCCATTCATGCTGAAGGGAAAATACATCAGAGTTCCTTATTGCGAGGCAGGTGGAGTCGTGTCCGCCTTTGAAAAAAATTGCAGAAAAGGCAGGGGTGGGGAGAGGATGGGTCCTGGAAGATTCATCGAATGGCAGAGGAGAGAGGCTATTCAAACTGATGAGAATGTTGATTTGAAAGAGGGAAGAATGTTATTGTTCTGAGATCTCGTTTAGGGTGAATAAGGCATGTAGGTCTGTTCAAGGGAAAGAATGTAAACAAAATAATGTTCGCAAAAAGCAACTGAGTGGTCTTTTGTGTGGGAACAGCACCAGTCTATGCACAATGACAAGACCATCCAAACTATGTACAATGACCATCATAGGAAATGTTTTATTTTTAGTGCACCTAAATGCCGCACCCGCTGAAAATTTAAGTTTTAAACACGTAAACGCCGCGACGTTTCTTCCAGAAATTACAGTATCTCTTTTTTTATTAAAATTACTTGATGCCTTCTTTCAGCATTCAAAACTTAGACTTCATCCAAATGTAATTTGTACATTTTTTATAATTTATTTTTTAAATTTGTATTTTTAAATGTTTTTATATTATAACATATAAAATTTTTAACATCATCTTAAAGTAGATGTATATCTAGGCATACCTGCAAAAAATTAGTTTTTTTAATTCAAAATTGTTTGAGATATACATGATGGCACATTTTGAAAGTTGGCATATTTGTTAAAAGTGATAGAAACATCAAATGTGGTTTATGCACATTGTTAAAATTTTTTGAAAGTATGAACAATGACTTTTTTTTTTCTGCTGGTCTACAATGAAAGGAAAATAGATTGCTATAAATTAAGAAGTTCACTAAATAAATTATTCTTGGCGAAAACTGAAAAAACGTACGCCAAGATGAATTTTTGAATTTTTCCATACATTTTGCACCAAAATTTAATATTTAGGTATAAATTGAGTTGTAGAATCGAAATATGGGGTAATCCTTCTATAATTATACTTAGGAGATAATATAATCAATTAATATTATTTAATAAATAAATTATATATATAGGATGTATATCCTAAGTCGTGCTTTCGAAACATCAAAAACGCAATTTGAATTTCTTCAATTGGTCCAATAGAACTGTTTATGTTGAACTCTCCCTTTTTTTCCACAGTGTGCCATATACGAATTTGACAAAATTAAAATAACCAAATCATTACTCAAAACTTGAAATGGAAGAGCTACAATGTATGGATTGCAGTTTGACTTAAATGTTTTTCCTCAGACCATAACGTAGCTAAATATATAAATGTAGTAAATTTGGAATTAAATTATTTTCCTTAATTTGTAAGATTTTAGCCCAATTTGTCGCTTTTAAAACAGAGCCCCAATTTTTTCCAGTTTTTAATTTCTCAAGATGTTAAGTAGATTTTAATTTATGAATGTTTAAAAAGTTGTTACTATATTTTATAACAGACATTATAAATATTACATCTTGTAATCTTCCAGTCTTGACCAGAATATCAGCCTACTTATAATAAATCAAAATATTGGAAACTGGTTACATGAGATTGCAGTCTGACAAGTCAAAGAAGTGTTTACTGTTTAAACCTGTAAAATAAACAAACAATTTAACTGTCTAATTAAAAATCCATAGCTTTGAAAAATGACTCCTTATAAATTTTTTATATAGAGATTAACTCTGTCCAAATCCATTTCTTGTGTAGGTCAATGGATTTTAGAACTTAACAATATCCAGGCCATACAAATGTTTATTTTTTTTTAATAAACGTATTATTTTCATTAAGTAGCAATTCCAAAAGAATTTGATTTTCAATATACCCATTTTGAGTTTCCAGACATATGTTTTTGTTTAAAATGATAGGTATGTTCCTTATACACTACAGATGGTTTACCTCATGAAGTTTCCAAAAACTGAATTTCAGCTATTCGCATGAATAAGAGTACTTTTTCTCGACAAATGTATTTAAATGATAACACATGCTCTATTAAGCCTAGCTTCTTTGAACACCTGCATTGCTCTCTTCAATGTCTTCCTATAAACTAAAAAAAAGAAATTTCTTTGGCTTTTTTTTTTTTTGTCGTTTGTAAAATATATCATAATTGCAGCAAGAGATTTGTGCTTACATGTAAAACCATTTTGAACACTACTGGCAAAAAGACTTTTTAAGACAGTGATTATGAAACATAGAAAATATACAATGTTATAACTAATTCAGAAGTCAAACAACAAAAATCAACGTTATATTTTCACAGGACTAGTTTCGATGGTTTTACCGAACCACCATCCTCAGCTGCAAAATCGCAAATGGATGATGAGTGACCCATTTGCGATTTTGCAGCTGAGGCTGGTGATTCGGTAAAACCATCGAAACTAGTCCTGTGAAAATTTTGAAATAAACGCTGATTTTTGTTGTTTGACTTCTGAATTAGTATTTATTCGGCGTGTTATTGTGTCTTAATATAATGTTATGTTTCGTTACTATATATAAAAAAAAGGAGAGGAAGTTACTTTAGATTTTTGAAATTTTGGAATTTTAAAAGTGTATTTTGTAGTAATTCTCCAAACTTGTTTTTGTGATAATTAAAGTATTTACCTTTTCAAATAATGTCTTTTCTGAATATGATATGTTAATAAGTTTTAAAAGTAATTAATTTAATTTTTGTATCTGATTGTTGATTTTTTTTTTTTTTTTTTTCTTTTCAGTTCACACAAGCATTCAAATAAAAAGAGGCAAAGTGAAAGGAATACAGAGAACATTTATACTAAACGTACATGCTTTGGAGGTAGATATCTTCCCACTCCATTATGGTGTGATGAAATGAAATTTAATAAATGTGGATATTGGCCATCTAAGCAAGCTGAGTTGCGTTTATGTCCTGATAAAACATATGAAGATAATGTAAATAATCAGGCAGACTCTGAAGATTCTGATCTAGAGACTCGTATCCACAATAAAAGGTTTCAAAAACCGGATCATAGCTCTAGGACGTTAAAAAATAATCCTTGTAACTCATCATCAGAACCTGGAATGTCTCGTGAAAATCCTGCTACTGTAAGCAATAGTGTTAAATTTATAGATAGTGGTAGTGACGATGACTCTAAAATAACTATGCAGAATGGAGCCTTGAAAGGAGGACGTCAATCTCCAGATCTCTTTTATTTCAACAGGAAAGTGTTGGGTCGTAAAATAAAGAAAGTTCTTGATAGTGATGATTCAGACGAGGACAGTTGGCATATTGGCTATCGTAGTCGTCCGCGAGTATTTTCATCATCAGATAGTGAAGATTCAAAATTAACTAATGGCAAAAAAAAATCTCTGGATGCCATTCCTGCCAGTAATGCAGATCAGACATTTTTCTGTGGTGACTCGCGTCAAAATAACAAACATTATGAAACTTTGCAATCATCAAAGATATCACATTTCCGTGGTTATGGTAATGAATCTCGTAAACTTTCTTCTGCATCGAGCTCTAAGAATCAAAATAAGGGTCTGTCGAAAAAGTCTCATAATACTCATTCTGGTTGCAGAAGTAATTTGCCATCAACTAGTGTATCCGTTGATCCATATGGACCCAGCAATAGTACTGCTAGCACATCTCGTCGAGGAAGAAGTTGTGCTAATGGGATTGAGAGGAGCTCCCGCAGATCTGGGTCACCACATCCAAAAAGTTTGCGCTCTCATCAGCGAATAAGCTGTAGCAAAGGCAGGCCACCGAGTTCTACTCGCTCACGAAAAGATAAACTCAATCTTGCTGCATCTTATCCAGATTTGTTTGATGCAGAAGATAGTAGTGAGGTTGAATTTTTCACTGCAAACTCTTACTCTGATACAGAAACTAGCGCAGAAGCATGCGATAGCAGGAAGGCAAACGAATCGTGTAAAAATCACCCTGATCCTTTAGTTGCAGTTTTCAATGAATCTGTTAGTGATAGTAGTTCTGAAGATGAAATAAGTGTTGTGTTCTCTACTACAACAGCAAGAAATAATGAACAACGAAGAGGTGTTCCTAGAGCAATAGGTAATATTCATGTATATTTATGCTAGGTTATTTTTATTTGCATATAGACAAACTACAGTATTGTTTGGCTTACTGTAAATAAATACAGTGTGTTCCAAAAGTCCGGGAACACTTTAAAAATATGTTTAAATAAGTTATAGCCAAACAAGTAGCATTGCAAATTAACAAAGTAAATAATTTTAGAGAGTAAAGTTGTAAGTTTTAAACAACACTCATTTTACAACCAAGACACTTTGTGCCACATGTGGCAAGAGTTAGATTATTGTGTTGACATTTCTAGGATCACACATGGTTCCCACATACAGTGTTTGTAAAATGAGTAATGTTGAAGAAAACTTACAATTTTATTCTCTGAAATTATGTGCTTCGTTACTTTGTCATACTACTCGTTTGGCTACAATAAATTTTTTAAAGTGTCTGCAGACTTCTGAAATATGATGTGTAATGGTCATAAGTAATGCTTTTATGTATTTTAATTTTAGATGTATCATTAATATGCACTTTGTTCCGATTTGTGAAGTGCACAACTTTTAATAATTCGTTAAATCGGACACCCATAATCCGAAATGATCTATAATACAGACCTCAAAGCTACAAACTTTCTGCGCATGTGTCGCGTTGACGCATGCGCGTAAGACCTTTATGGCTGCGAATATGCGTGTGCGCATGCGCAAAATATGTTTACGAATTCGCGTTTAATGTTTAACGGATGGTATAAGCTAAGCTAAAATTATCTAATCAGTTAATGTTGCAGATTGTGTTGTTCCTTAATCTTCGAATTGGATTCGGCTTATTATTTTTTGCAGACTGTTAGAGCAATTTTATAAAAGTAAGGTTGAACTTTCAACTATGTCAAATAGAATTTCTGATATATATTTACTAATATGTAAAGGATCTACAAAACAAAAGTATGATTCGAAGTCCATTAAACAAAAAGTGGAATTGCTGTAAAAAATGGATAAAGGCATATCCTTTGTTTATCTAACCATTCCGAAATCTGTTTATCAATTTCACGCTGCTCTCCTTGTGTGGGGGGCGGGGAACGTCGCGGCGCGCAATGAAATGGAAGTTGATCTGTCAGCACTATCCTTATCTTCAGGGCAGATGTTTTTATTTTATTTGGCTTAGAATTCCTTACTAAATGTAGTATTTCATCTGGATGTACTCCATCTTTGATATGATTTAAATCAAATTCCTCGTCATTATAATTTGCTTCCGATAGCGAAGAAAGTGACACAGAGGTCACTTTCTTCGAAAACGAAAAAATTTCAATTGCAAATTAGTCGGTATTCTCGACACAGCAATTATAGGACTTGAACAGCGGAACTTTGTAACTGAACAAGAAATTATGTCAGTTTATAGAATTAAAGAGAAAGTATTATCACATAAAAAACGAAGCAACTTAAACAACTTACATTGAAAGAAATGTTTAATAAAGTAAACAAATAAATATTAAGCTTTTTTTTTGTAAATTTTGATACCATTTAGATCATAATTGTTCTTTATTTCATAAATTACGGTTTCATATTTTTAATTTTATAATTTCTGCATGCCATCTTACCAGATTTAAACTGATGATCTATAATCCGGAAAAATCGATAACCCGGAATCGCCGAAGTCCTGATGAGTCCAGATTAATGACTTTTGACTGTATCAGATATAAAGTGCAGTGAATTGAATCTAGAATTAACACTATTGCTTCTAATGCAGAGCTGTTTGTAAAATTTACCTAAATATTCACCTTTTTTTGTTATAGCACAGCTGTTTTTTCTCTCATATAAATTTCAGAGTTGACTTTTTGGTAGTGTGCCTTCTAGTGAGCGAGTATATTGTATTGAAATATGGCTGAAGCCTGTCGTTTGTATATAATTTGCTTGAGATGTCTGTCCAAACTGTGATTTGTGCAAATACCAAAATAAGTGCTTCTCCAAAGCTGTAATCAATTGATTTTGGTCAAATATAGCTTGAATTCCGGATTTTTTACCTTATTAAGTCTGGAATTTCTGAAAAATATGTAAAATCAAAATCTTTTTCAAATTTTGTTTTGGAGCGAATGTATTGTTCAGATTACATAAATTTAAAACTTTTAAACTCTGTAAATTTTAATTTGAGGTCAAACTTCTTGTGTGAGAAAACTAAGTTTGTCTTACACAAAAAAAGTTATTCTTATGCAGAAACAGAAAAACTGATTTTGTAAAGCTTCGGGCTAAATTATTCTGATTAAAAGAATATGGAAAACAGAAATACCCAAGCGTGACAAACTTAACCCTCTGGGCGGCCAGGGTTTTCTCTAAGAAAGCACAAATTTCCCAAAACTACTATGAGAACAAATTATTTTTTTGATTTTAATGCAAAAACTCTCATGGTATTTCATACCTGGATTTGTTTTCTTTTGATATATTGCCTTAATTTCGTTGACATATTTTAATATGGGCGTATATATACGTTCTTACAGATATTACAATAAATATTCTAGGCCGTATATATACGGCCTTGCCACTTAGAGGGTTAATTATATCTGTTATTATTATTTTTTTCCATTCAGTCGACATTAATTCTGTCCGAGTTGTAAACGAGTCTGAGTGAAGTTACAAATATAATTTTTGAGCCTTCAAACTGTGTTTCTTCAGTTCAGATGTCATAATTTTTACTTTATTGCTTTATATTATTTTTATGCTTTTCATAATTTTTACTTTATCTGTTTTATGGAACAAGGCTTTTCAAAGTATGAGTTGCAATCCCATGTAGCTAAATTTAGGGGATGCAGAAATTTTATCAAAACTTAAAAAATTCTGAATGACACAAAATTAATTCAAAACCAATTTGGCAATATATTGCTCATACTATATATATGTGAGTACAGAATAAAGTACTTGTGCCAGCTGCGGCTGATCGACTTATAAAGGCCTGAAATAGGGGGAAAAAAGATGTTTTGAGATTTGTAGTGCTGTCAACAAAAGGTGTTTATTTGTATCAAGTTGCGTAATTACAAAATAAATATTGATGTAGCATGTCATTTTACTGTGTTCCAGTGATAATGCCATTAATGATGTGTAGTATTTTAATGACAAAAACACATGAACATAGTTAACACGAAGAGAACATAGAAAAATGAAAAGAAGTAAGACGAAAAAGAGAGTCCGTAGCATCACACAAATGGGGTGACATCACGTCAAACGGTATCACAAAACAGTCCATAGTTCTATTGCTCTGTCAAATTGCGTCATCGTGCTACTTCTGCTCTCGTCTCAGTGGCAGAATCATCTGAATCCTTTTCACACGACTTGCAGAAGAAGTAGTGTGACCTCAATTGGTGACCGTGTTGCCAATCTCGGGTGCAAGAAAAATCTTTGTGCCCACTCGGGCATCCCGACGGACCAGACATTTGTGGCTGAGAAGAGGACAAATGATCTGAAAAAAAAAAGCAGAAAAAGTATCTTTGTGGTGAATGCTTAGTTTGTGCACCGCCATTTTATCTTATCAACAGAAATTGATATTATGGTGGGGTCTTCATGGCGTATCTAGGACGAAGTTTCAGTCAAGGTTGTATTGATTGCCATTTAGTCTCTAAGCTTGTTTTTATGAGCAGGTTCGCGACGTTTCTTATATGGAGTGTGTTTTATTGAGCTTCAATACTTAAAGCATCTTTTTCATCATCTTGCTGTGTCTCCAATTTCTTTGAAGTCTTTTGAAGTTTTTTTCATTTGTGCTTCCAAGCCCTTTTCTTTCCTCTCTTGGGGTGTGAAGCAGCTAAAGAATATAAAACAGTAATTTTTTTTGCCAGTTATTTCAGCATTCTTTGTTGCCTCAAAAGCTTCAACTGCATCTTTTTCATGTATGTAACTTATTGTAGCGTATCGATAAACAGGTGATAAATTTAAAGTTATCTAAGATGCTTTTGGAAAAAATTTAATTGTAGAATTGGCTGGAATGTCAGAGACAAGTAATTTCATTAGATTATATCTCTTATCTTCCCTTGCTGTTTTTGGTCTATTTTTGCTTTTCACACCTGCAAAATCTACTGTAACAGGCTGACTTCATAATTTTTTCTCTTGCAATTGTGGTTTTCCTCAGCTTCACTATTAAATTCTAAAAATGCATATAGCCCACCAGCAGCCAAATTATAAAGTTGCTGAACGCTGGTGTTTGGTCCGAGGTTCGAATCCCACGAACGGGCTGGCTGCATAGGCGTTTTGGTGTTTTTCCCCCATGTTTAACGTGTATACGAGCCAGTTTCCCCACGAAGGCATCCATCCCCTTAGGCAGATAGCCCTTGAGGCTTTGCCTTAATCACACACACACACATACTAAAAATGCATATAATACCTTTCGTTTCTTTGCATCTTTTGCTTTCATCATCAAGAGTCTTCTGTGAAAAAAGAAGCTTTTCAGTGTTCGGAGACTTTTCCGTTTTCGGAGTTTTCTCTAGTTTCTGTACTTTTAGCAGGTGTTTCCTCTTTTGCTTGTTCAGCACATACTTGTTTAAGCTGATTCAGTTTTTTTTTTTCACAGTTTCTTCAGTATTCTGCACATTTTGTTCCTCATCATCATTAGCTTCATGATTGCCATCATTGTCATTGTAAACATCATCTTCAGCAAAAGCATCATCTTTGTCATTGTCATCATCATCATCATCATCATCCATGTCGTCATCCTTCAAATTGAATTCTAATTTGGCATCATCATCTTCATCTTTAACTATTTTCTTTAATTGATTTTCATTTTCTTTCATGTCCGTGTTAACTGTATGTGGTTTGTAAGGAGTAACAATATGTTGCATTTCCTCGTGAATATCAGAATTCGAGATGCGTGAAAGATCAAATGGAAAGGTTTGATCATCTGTAACATTAGCAACATTAACTGCTTTCCCTTACAAATTTTTTTGAAAAAAATTACAAAAAATCATCACAATTTTTTATTTTATTATTAAATACAACGAAACGAATCAAAATATGTCGTTTAAGTTATTTTTAATTTTTTGAAGGTGTGAAAGCATTTAGTTTTAATATTAGTGTACTATCTTGAGCAAAATTTTTCAAACAAGGGACAAGACAAAATGATACCTGACATTCTACACTGCTATGTGGTCTCTTTTCTTACTGGCTTACCACTGGAATCTCTTTCAAGGGAACATAGAGTACAGTGTCTCGTTAGATTTGATTTTGTTTTTAAATATTTTTTTTTTCACCTCTTCATAATCACTATCTGAAAAATCATCACCATTATTTTATTTTTTCAACGCATGTATCCTTCTTTATGTATTACTAATCTACAAGCCGAAGTATACTTTATAATAAGGAAACACATGACCAGTCCCTTGAAAAGAACCGCGCAACCAACAAAATTTCACAAACTGCCAATCAAAGCTGAATATTTCCTTCCATTTCCTCCAGGCCGAGTAGAGCCGTGATAAAACAAATCGTACTAACAAATTCTGCTTCGCCTGAGTTTTGACGGGATAATAATTAACTGTAATATATATGAACCCGAGATAACTCAGGATAATCAGGCAAGCGGTTAACAAAAATTTGATCATAATTACTATTGCATAAAAGAATACCGTCTTTATCAAATGTGAACTGAGTTTGTTGCAAAAAGTCAGTTCAATGCAAAAAGTCACGTCAAGAGGAATCACAGTCTTTTACTTACATGGATTTTAGCAGGTAAAATAGTGTTTTCAATTTTAATGGAATCCTGAAAGAATCTAATGCTTTGAACTGTGTCTCCGCTTTCTGAGAACATAATTCTGGAGGGATGTAATGGTGGAGAACCAATCTTACGGTATGTTTCCTCATTAATCAGCGTGGCTTGGGACCCACTGTCACATAGTGCAGTTAATGGGGTTCCTGCAAGTTGAATATCAACATGCACAGCGTGTTTGTAAAAATTTTGCACAGAAAGTTCGTTTACAGTGCCATCAGGTGTAGAACATTTAGGAGCAGATTCCATGGTAGAACTACCATAATTTGGGGGACAAGTTGGCATAAACATGACTATAATTTTTGCAGCCATAAAAAAATTTGCCATTAGATTTATTCAGACAATTGACACTTTTATGCCCTTTTAAACCATAGGAATAGCATACTGGTTGAGTGTCTGATGTACGTTTATTATCAAGTTTAACATTGGGAATTATGAGGTTTCCTCTGAGTATTTTGCCTCAAATGTTTTGAACTGTTAAAGAGGTTTTTTTTTTTTTTTTTTTTGTAAATCTTCAATTTTCCTTTAAATTCAGGAATGGATTTTACAGCCATATAAAATTATTTTGTTTGATGAATCAAGAATGCAGTTTATAACATACTCAGTCAGAGAAGAATCATCAGTAGAATCTGTATGCACAAGATTTCGCGTGGCTAAAAAATATTCTTGTAGCATTTCAAATGGTTTCATAGGCTGAGATTCCATTAATAAAAAAAATATATCATGCACAACCCACAGTAAAATTAAGAAAATATAATTTCTTAAAATGAAATGCTGAAAAAAATGTATGTAGATTTATGAAATAGGAAAAAAAATGTAAATGATGATGATATAGTAGATATCATTACGATGCAATAAGTAATATTTCTCAGCATTGATGCAGGAAGAAGTAATACTGTTTCGCTGAGTAGCATATTAAAAAAAATGCAGTAAATTGCCAATTAATTCTTTTTATCACTCTATTCTATTCTTTGATCTCTTAGAATCTGTAAAATGTTCAAAATTGTGTAAATACAACTTAATTGTGAAAATTTTAAAATCTTAAAGGTCTAATATTTAAAAGTACAAAGTAATTTTCCAAAATTTATAAAAAAATCAGAAATTTTAAAAATTGATACAAATTTTATTAAAAAGATTTTTTTCTCACTCTATCTGATGATGAAAACAAGTAAATTTCTGAGATATTTTAATTTGTTTGTTAAATAAATATATGCATGGAAATTATTTAAACATTAAATTAAAAAAAAAATCTAAATCAAATTTTGGAAAAAAATCTCCTCATTGTCGTTCACAAAGACTGCGTGTAGAAAATATAAACTCGATGGTAAACTGGATGTTGGAAGTAGTTCAAAAATTGATGAACTTCCTACTATTGCCACAAACACCATAAGTAGAATAAATAAAAGCATATTTGCCTGATTAAATAACTCAGTTTCAATATGAGTTAATTCATTCAATGAGAAGTAGCTAGAACATACTTGATTGCAGTATATATATATATATATATATATATATATATATTATGTTTAATATATTTATTGATTTAGAAGGTATGCTTCTGTTATTTGGACCAAATTTATAAATGTATGTATGTATGTGCATATGTGTGTATACACATACATACATAAATGTATATACATGCAAATACATGTACACATACATCCATATATACATGCATATATTTCTTAATCCGGTCCTGGTAAGAAAAGAGTACCGAAAAGAATTAATTAAGAAAGTTTTAAATAAATAAATATGTATATTTATGAAGCTGTATAAGAATTATTTATATTTATCTTCTTACTTCATTCTTTAGATTAATTGGTTAGATGAAATGGAGCAAGTGTTAGCATTAACCTATATAAATGTGTGTAGTTTTACCAAGAGAATATTTCTGAAAAAGTAGTGCCTTATGCGACATCAAAATTCAAATATTTCAAAATTTTACTTTAAATATATTTTCCATAGAATAAAATACATATCTGAAATGTAGTTCTTAATTTATTTCCTTTCATATGTGACATTTTTTAATATACGTTTTTGATTAATAGTATTTTAAAAAAATGTGATGTAGCATGTGGAAAAATAGAATTAAAATATTGTATTATTAAAATCTCAAATACAGATAGATTACATGGGAGGGGAACATCTCGTGGTCAGCCTACAGTAGTGTCATTTTCTCCTGATCCCGTAGAGCAAGTTCGGCAGGTGGAAGAAGATGAAAGAATAGCTCGAATACTGCAAGTAAGTTTTTATAGTGGAATTTTAATGTCTGTAACAAAAGCAAACATTTTATGAGTTGTAATGAGCTGATTATATAGGTTAAAATTCCTGTTTAGTTAGGTCATTTGAATTATTCCTTACAAGTATATTTTGAGCAGTATCAGAGTGCACACTGAAAAAAGTGATAAGAAATAAAAATTCGCTTCTGGAATGTTTTTTAGTATTTATGTAAAACTATGATGAAAAATTTTCATTTTACAGCTATAGTTTAATCTTTTTAGCCCAGAAGGGCTATTAATTTCGTTTTGGCATTTTGCGTTGAAAACTTTAAATATCTGTTCAGTTTTGAAACTGTTTTTAACAAATATTACAGCCCTGTATTATATTTAAAGGAATTAAATAATGAAGAATCTGCATAAATGTATGTATGTTTCTTGCATTCTGATAAAACTATTCAAATATTACATTATTCAAAATTTGATGGTAGCTAGAGCCATCAAATTTTGAATAATGTACGTTTCCGCCTGAATATGGGCATCTGAAAGCCCAAATTTGGAATTTGTTTTATTATCTATTTCATATTTTGTAAAACTTTTAACGAATTTTTTATTAACAAACTCAATGATTTCAAAGCGAGCAATGGCAACACTGTACACACACAACAACAACAACAACAACAACAAAAAAAAAAAAAAAACTCCAGTGCACGAGACTGTGTATCAAAAGTTCTGAAGATATGCTCATTTTAAAATTATTTTGTGATATTGCTGTTGAATTGAATTTTACTAAGAATATAATATTTAGTAAATTTTATGGTTTAAGTGCGAAGAACATATTTAATAAATAAAGATAACAAAATGCTTTAAAAAAAAAAAAAAAAAAAAGAGTCCCCTTGGGTGTAATGCAAAATTTGAAAACTTTCTTTTTTTTTTTTTAAGTTTTAAAGCATAAAGTAAATGCATGTGCATATAAGATGTTAAAATTTTTTAACTTGAACTGTATTTGCTAAATGATTTTTGTCCTGGTGTGTGTGATGTGAAGCTTTATGTCAGGTTCAGTGAATCATTATTGTACCAACTAATTGAAATAGCACACAAATTAGTTTGAATATATTACTGTACATTTTAGATTTAAAAAAAATAGGAACTTAATAGAAAATTAACATTAACTTAACTGCGGTTCTTTGTGCATGAGATATTCAAAATTATGCAAGGTTCTGAAACACATTCAGCTTGATATGATGTGCATGCTAATAACTTCTACAGCTGATTTCATATAGCATTTGTACATTTAGAAATTACTAAGTATGTACAAAATGTTTTGATTTTTTAATTCTGCTTCAGCTCATTATATTTTGTTATTTTCGAATAGGCACTTTAAGACCATGTCTTTTCCCAAACCATGACTCATAATTATGGCAGCAACTGCTGTGGGAAAAAATTCAAATAATTTAATTTGCTAAATTCCCTAATTCATACTGTGCAATGTATTGTAAATTGTATTCATACTGTGCAGTGTAATGTATAAGTAAATTGTATAAAATGATAATCAAATGCTTTTATTTAATGATCAATTAAGAAATACAACTGACATACTTAATGAAATTGAACATTTTAACTATAATTATTGATCCAACCATGCTGATTTAAATATATTTCTTTAGGAAAAAAGTCTTGGTTAAAGTTTTTTTGTTTTTGTTACAATTTCCGTCAATTTTAAAGTAATTGAATTGTCCTCAATCATGTCCTCAATCACGTTGCAAATCAATTTCCGAAACATAACGCAAATACATTTGGCAGCCAAAAGCATTCTAAAGACTAGTAAATACCAAACTATGAGATTTATCCTAAAACTTGCAATGAGATTTCTGTAGCTATAACTTTCCATTCACAGTTGTTTGTAGTTGTGGATCAAATTTACTAGTGGAAATTATCAACAGTGACTTCAAATATTCATCAGTTAATTTGGATCATAAATATTTTTTGTGTATTTAATTTTGGAGACTGGTTTTTCACACAGATATATAGTTCCAAAATTGGCAAAAATGCCAAGAGTAAATTTATGCAACTGATCCAAATGTGTGAGCTGAAGACCTTTATAAAATTCCAGCAATGATGAGCTTAAATATTCATCTTTAAAAAAATATCGCTACTCTGCAAATCAGTCATTTCCATTTGAAATTCAGGGGCAAGCCTTTCTGTATTGGCATTGAAGTATTTTGGAAAATCTTAATGTTTCCAATTGCATCAAAATCTGAAAAGCAAGACTATCAGTAGTGGTACACTTTAAGTTGTTGGAAGTTGTTGACTTTAAGTTACATTGAAGATTTTTTTTGAATCCTTTAAAAATATATTCTCCAGAGTCCATGTCGTGAATGCCATGAACATCAAGAAGCCTTTCATTAACTTCATAATTTTTATGTCTTGCGAATAAAAAGTAACACCTGAACGGTAACATCTGTTGACTCATCCAGGGCCAAAGAGAGTGCTGATTTTTTGTTGTGTAATTAATATGTTTTCTGCGGTATCATCTGCTTTTCGAGCTGCAGTGTTTACTGACAAACTAATGTTAATAACTAAATAAACTATTTCTGGATATATTTCTTTTGCTGCTATGATGCAATCCTTGATTATATCATAGTCAATTCATATCAATTCATAGTCACTAGATAGTTTTTCATATTTCGTTATTGAATTAACTATGCAGAAACTAGCATGAGTTGCTGCTTTCATTTCCATTGTCAAACAACAACTGCTGAAATTTCAACCTGGATTTCAAAGATTTATATTTTTTTAACCATAGGATTCCTGTGAATTTGAAGTAATTCTGAGGTTGTTCAGTCTTATAACGATGTTTTTTACTGTATTCTTTTAGGACATATTGTTTTATTGAAAATTATACACACATTGCTTTATTACTTGACTCAATCATGAAATAATGATATCTCCATTGCTCTAAATGTTCTGCACTCGTTATCTATTTGTTTCTTTTCCTGCCATTCTTAAAGTTGGAAAGTCCAACTCTCGATTGTCTCCTGTATTTATACCATGTGTCATGGCCATATTCTCCTGATCCTATCATGTCTATTAATACATCTTGCTTTTGATGGTAAAATTCCATAACTTTGAAAATAATTTGCTGTGCTGTAGAAAGCATATCCCAAATTTTAATCATTTATTTTTCAAAATGTGTCAGAAATTTACAGCAATAACTGTTAATTTATGTTTTTGTTTATAAAAACAAAAGGTGGCTTAACACAACATCTAGTTTTTAAACATCAAGCTAGAACTTGTGATACAGATATATTTGTGTTTTCATGTATTATAACTTTTTTAGGCAGTGACTACTCTTAGTACCTACCATTGTGGCAAAATTATCACTCCCAAAGCCAATGATATTACTTATTGGAGTGTTCTTCGTATAAAAAGATCTTTTACAGCTTGATAAAGCCTTCCTGTATCACAATATCTAACATTAACAGCTGGAACTTGTGATACAGATATACGCTGCTCGACATTGAAAATGCAACACCAAGAAGGAGTGGTCAGAAAGTGACAAAATTTGGAAAAAAGACAGAGACAGCAAGCAGCAATAAGTGATCGTTATTTCAAAATGATAGTCAGAATACAGAGCGAGAACGGCATCGGCTCAGTAGGATGTAGGACCACCGCAGACAGCGATGCACGAAGAAACACGTCTAGACATAGAGTCATTAAGAGTGTGGATGGTGTCCTGAGGGATGGCTCTCCATTCCCTTTCAAACATTTGCCACAATTTGTCTTCTGAATGAGGCAGGGGCAGAGTCTGCAAACGGCGTCCAATCACATCCCACTCATGTTCGATTGGTGACGGGTCAGGAGAGTACGGTGGCCAGGGAAGCATATATACCTTGCAGAGCATGTTGGCAGATGCGAGCACTGTGTGGTCGAGCGTTATTCTGCTGAAAAATTGCATCAGGCAGCCCCTGAAGGTAGGGGATTACCACCGGCTGCAGTACATTATCCAAGTATCGTTGGGTTGTCATAGTGCCCTGAATGCGAACTAGAGGTGAACTGGAATCATAGGCAATAGTGCCCCAAACCATTATGCCACGTTGTCGCGCAGTAGGGCATTCCACAGTTACTGCCGTATTAGATCTGTCTCCACGTCGGCGCCACACACATATGCGGCGACTGTCACTGGATAAACAAACGCGTGAATATTCATGCTGCAACTTATTGCTGCTTTATCAGGTTATAATGTTCTATGAATCTATACACCTTAGTTCATTTTGCACAAATTTTACGTATTAAATAACTAGGAACATCTCTCCTTCCATCATCATCTTTTTTGGGCACTTCTTCCATTACATTAACTGGGTTAGAGTAGACTGAACCCTTGTATTATATTATCGCGAAGTTGTTGTTTCATTTATGGTAATCTGAGTTGTTGAATGTTCCGTAAATATACTTTTACCTAGAATTTAGCGTTCCTTTGATTTTTAAGTGAAAATATATCGATATGTACGTGGACAAAGGAATTGTGCAATGCCAATTTTGTGCAATTCTCTGATTTTTTAAGTGAAAATAGGTCGATGTGTACATGGATAAAGTCAAGGGAGTGTGCAATGCCTAGCGCAATCCTATGATTTTTTTAAAAGTGAAAAGAGGTCAATGTGTACATGGATACCGAGTTTGTGCAATTCTTTGACTTTTTTTGGCTTTGTGTAGCAGCGATTTTGGGTACACAAAGCTAAAATAACAAGTCAAGGAATTGCACAAACTCGGTATCCACGTACCACCAAAAATCACCAATTTTCACCAAGGGGTACCCATAAATATACTTTTACTCATTAACTGTATTTTGGAGTATCATGTGTTGCTAGCTTACTTGTTTGTATCTTGAAGCATCATTTATCATCCAAAATAGTTTTCATTTAGAAAATTTGTTTATGATCCAAGGCATTCTGAATCAAGGTTATACATTATGCGGATAGAAAAATTAGAGTACTTCTATATCAGACGTGTTTAATGTCCAGTATTGAAGCATTTATTATTAATTATATTAATGATGTAAACTTTATAAAAATATAGGAGAATATTAACCACATGGTTTTTTTTTTTTTTTTAATAGTTTAATTTGTTATTCTGCTAACAAGTGTATTATGATTTAGAAGATATTTGACCCATTAATTGAAATGTGGATTAAAAACAGATTTGACGAAGTCAGTTTGGTCTCAGACGAAGACTAGGTGCAAAAATATTTTTTGATCAGACTTTTAAATTAAATAAAAATAATGCCTCTGGTGTTAAAACTACCAATAGTTATGAATTAAGAGATAATGAAAATTGCTTTTAAGTATATAGAAGTAGCATTTGCTATTTTTTATACTAATCTTTATTTTTTCACAGGCTCAGTTTGATGCTGAAATGGGTCCTCAATTTTCTTCTGTACATGCAAACCCTCGTATGGGCCTTCATGTATCAGTAGACAGTCATGAAGAGGTCATCGATCCATTTGGAGAATCAGATAGTGAAGAGCCATTCAATCCATATGTCATGGCACCATCACGTCGAGGATACAGAGTGCCGCATTTGTTCAGCAGATCAAGAACCTCAAGTGTACTGGCTATATGTGTATTTTTTCTAAACATGCTTTTTAAAGTTAAATTTTAATTATTTAAAAATTTTACCATCTTACCATAAGCAAAATTGTCCTGGTTCAAGTGGTTTTTTTTTTTTTTTTTTTTTTTTTTTAACAGTGACAGAAGTAAATTGCTGGCCATTAAAATTATGAGAAAGCTGCCTTGTTTGCTGATAAAACATGGCAATTAGTTCTGTATCAACCTTTAATCTAAATCCAATCATCGAAAATGAAAATGAGGATAGTCACGTTGAAATAAGTAATTCAGAACAGAATGCTAAAAATGATCTTAATAATCTGTTAAAATTAATTTAATATTTATTTAATTTTATATTGATGAGTTGGATTTTGAAGGTTTTTTATAAATAAATAGAATCTATTTTAATTATAAAATTCTGTTTATGTAATGTACATGTTCTTTTTCATAATATAATAGTGCATGTTCTTTTTCATAATAGTGGGTTCTGTAAACTTTGTTTATGGTGATGAACAAAGTTTACCGAACCCATGAAAATCATGTGCATTAGAAATCAGCAGAGTTCATTTTTGGGAAGTTCAAGGCAGGATGTTTGTTTATTTTACTTTTATATTGCTGATTATGTTTTAAATGTTATAAAATATCATTAATGATGATTACATAAACATGGAAGGTAATTACTGATTAAATGAATATTAAGCACCATGTTTCAAAATGTTTTGCTGCTGCGTGGTGCAGCTTATCCATTATACTTTTTTTTAAAGTCAGTATCATTTACTAGACAAGGTGGCTTATCTACCCCAAATTACTGTGTTGTTGTTACTAATCCTCAAGTCCAGCTTCTGCTAGACAAGGTTTAGGAGTTTATTCACCTTCAAAAAGTCATAAACTAGCGTAGGAGACTCAATCAGGTCGTTGTAGAACAAACCCAAACACCTAAGGATATGTGCCAGAGAAGCCTGCTCGTTGTTACATTTCGGACAAATTGGGTGTGTTTTTTGACCTCCCTGAAAGGCAAGGCTTCTAATGGCCACTAAGAAAGTGGGAGAGTGCCATCTGGGTGGATCTGTTACAGTTCACAGTGAGGGATCCACCAGGGGTTTCAATCCGGTACCAAGAGTGTGTCGGAGGGACAAGCCAAGTCATTTTATCAGTACGTTTTCTGGTAGAATACAGCTCAAGGTAAGTCAGACACTTGGAAGTAGCCAGAGTCTCCTCGGCACTCTTCTTTGCCTCTTCATTTCCCCAAGTGTCTACATGTGAGGGAATCCACTGAATATGCACATCACAAGAGGACAAGACTGTTTTAATTTAGTGAGAATTTAAGTTCCAATTTTGTCACCAACGTACACCAGTTTCACAAATGTTGAATGGCATTACCAGATAGCTTTAGGATCTAAAAATGACATTATATAGCTCAGTTCCTCATCGATAGCAAAGAGTTCACTTTTAAAAACTGAGCTAAAATCAGGAATTCTTTTCTTTATTTTGACAATTCCATCGGGATCTCTAATAAGTACTCCACTGCCAACGTGGGAATCCTCATTTTTGTTACCATCAGTATACACAAGCGTAGTGCTGTTTGGGATGTTATTTATAATTTCAAGGGCAAATTGTCGAAGGCAAATCAGCGATAATTTTTCTTTGTGACCCTTATGGAAACTGACCCTTGGAAGACACACTGAAGGGTCAATGCATTACTTTAAGAAGCATTATTCTACCATAAGGTCAAGTAAGTGTCTGTTCTCAGTCTGACTAAACGAGCTGTGTTTCTCAAGTCTTTTGTTGTTATGCCAGTGGCACAATAAATCCGAGGTACAATTTAGGGGACCATATCTGTAAAGTTTATTGTAATACTTCACTAGGCTCGAGTTCCTTCTGAGACTCAGAGGCTGAAGGTCTGCCTAAAACAGGAATGGGCAAATTACAGCCTGCAGGCCAACTCTGGCCCGCCGGAAGGTTCTATCCAGCCCATGGATAGAATTTTAATGTTGCTAGTCCGAGGCACATTAAGAGAAATATATATTTATATATTTTATATCCATCTCCTTTTCTACTGTTGTTTAAATATAATTTTTTTCTTTTTACTTTCTCTATTTCTGTTCTACAAAAAATTGACGGAAATAGCAAACACAGACAGCTTTCAATCGCTAAAGTGTTAAAAGCAGAAGTTCTTTGTTAGTTATAGCTGTAGCTATGCGCCAACAAGCGTTATCTGATTTTTGGAGAGCAGACGCACGGGAATCCAATATGAGTGAATTAGACCTCACATGTGGCAGACTGTGCATTTTAAGCTCCAGCCAGTGGCTTTTTCTTTTGGTGCGAGTTCTAATATTATTGATTGCGTGTGGAAAGATTGCGGACTTGTGAATAGTGGTGAAATTATTAAAAGTATAGCATAGCTATTGCTTGTTTTGGTTATTCGTAAAATTTTTCAACCCCAAAATGGCTACAAAAAAACGTAAAGTTGATTCAGAGTGTTGTGCTTTTAATGATGAATGGACCTGAAAATATTTTTTTACAGTTGTAAAAGATTGAATAGTATTTATAAGCTTCACGACTGCATCAAGCACAGTGTGTGTCATCTGCAGTGAAGCTGTAGCAATCTTCATAGAATATAACATTTCCCGTCATTTCACATTTGAGCATAAGAATTCCAATTACGAAGCAATGTTCGAATATGAAAGAAAACAAAATGCAGAAAATCTTTATAAAAAATTATCAGGCTGACAAATTTTTTTTAAAAAAGAAAGTAAACAGTATCCAAGAAGCAACTACATTGTAGCATACACTATTGCTAAAAATAATAAAGCTCTCAGTAATGGGCAGTTCGTTAAACAATGCGTGCTCCAAGTTTGTGATGTTTTATGTCCAGACAAGAAAAATAATTTTGAGACTAAGCTTATGCTTAGTCTCAAAATTATTTTTATTAAGTTATAAGATAAGCTTATGCTTATCTCGAAAAACAGTAGAGAATCGAAGACATCGATAAAAATTTGACATCACAGTTAGAGTCAAAGATTGGCCAGTTTAAATTTTGCTCCTTAGCTATGGATGAAATCACTAATATAAATGATACTGCTCAATTAGTATTATTTTTAAGAGGTGTTGATAAGAACTTTGAATTTACCGAAGAACTGACTTGCATGCGTTTATTAAAGGGAACTACAACGGGATGTGATATTTTTCGTGAATTTCAGGAAGGGCTTTTAACTCTAAAAATGCCTATAACAAATTTATGTAATATTACGACTGATGGGGGGGCAAATATGATAGGGGAAAAATCTGTATTTCTTGGACTCTTCAATCAAAACTATCCTCGGAACAATGTTGTCTTTCTACATTGTGTTATACATCAAGATGCTCTGTATAAATCTGCAGTGAATATGAAACCTGTGCTTGATGCAGTCTTGAAGCTTATAAATACTATTCAATTTGGTGGGCTTATCCAAAGGCAATTTCGAGATTTTCTTCAGTCCGTGCAATCTGAATAGTCTGATGCATTGTATTACACGAAAGTAGGATGTGCTTCCGAGTGAGTTTGACAGCTGAAAGACAACATTGTGTCGTTCTTCCATGAGAAACAGTGTTTTGTGGAGTGCAAAATGTTAGAAGATACAGAATGGCTTTTTGACTTTGCATTTTTCAGATATCTTCTTTGTCATATGAGCAACTTGAATGTCAAGATGCAAGGGAAAAATCAATTTATCTACAATATCTGGGCCCATCTTAAAGCTTTTAAACTAAACTTAATCTTTTTGCTGGGCAGCTACCTAAGAACTGTCTCATTTCCCGAGGTTAAATTCAATACCCTCAGTAAATGAAAAGAAGCTTATGAATTATGAAGATGGCTTGAAAAACTGCATTTTGAATTCAAAAGCTTTGAATTCAAACAGAATTGGATATTTTTACTATGCCTTTCAACATAAACTGGGAAGCAGTGAGGTCAAGTTTTCAGCTTGAATTAATTGAGTTGCAATTAATTCAGCGAGCGGAAATAGCAGTGAGCGGAAAATAGGAAACTTTCTTTTCTATTCCTTAGTCTCTAACCTGAAAATTATTAAAGGCGACCCCCCGAAAGGCAAGGTTTCTTCTTTTGCAATCCCAAATCAAAAAGCTGTGGAAGTAGAAATTAATTGTTACTATTTATTATTATGAAATACTTATTTTATATATTAATTTGTTTCTGTATAATTCGCTTTATGATCGAATAATCAGTAGACATATTTTCTAAGTATAAATCAAAGAAGTAACTAGGCAGGATTCTGGTACTTTGGAATGAACTTTGCAAGTTAAGAGAAATCGTGGTATATTACTTGCAGTTCGTAATTTTCATAATATTTCATTCCGTAGCGTTTAATTTTGTTCATATATTGAATCTCTTACTAGCTTTTACATTAAACGCAAGTCCAAAAATCAGTCCTAATATTCAATTTGAAATTAATTTCTTAATGTGAATGATTCTTAGAATTTAATATAACATGTATTTCGTTGGTTCGCTATAAACGGCATATCACTTTTGAAACTGTTGCCACCAAATAATTTCACCCTGTATTATTTTTAAAGAAATTAAATAAGGAAGAATCTTCATGTTTGAATGTATAATTCTCACAATGTAAAAAACGATGATACCTGCAACCTGTGCAGTCGCACCAAGAGGCAAGGTAAGAGACAGAAACATTTTTGATTTAGAAGCACGATTGACATTACAAAATGGCAAAGTGAAAGGTGGATTTATTTTTGCTTTTACACTAAGCTGGAGGGGGGAATCATTCATAAGTATTAATTGCTAACTCCAGAATACATGCTTTTCTTTCTTAAGGACACAAAATCATTGACGTAAGTTGAGCCGTTGTGGCATGAAAGGACTTTGCCCAACCCCATGTTGAAATGCCGTTCTAGTCCAGGAAACGCAAAGAATTTATGGCACCACATTTGGAAAGAAGAGATTTCCTTTAGGAGAGATTCCGGCTTGGGGATCTTTGAATGAATTCAAAGTCCGAAAAAAAGGGGGGGGGAGTTTTACGACAGGCTACAAATACACAGATGCTCAAACATTAAATGGCCAAATATTTCAGTTAATTTTCAATGTAAATTTAATGAAAATTTTTTCATTTAATTTATTGAAATTTATTACTTTTTCACTCATGGAGGTAGGAAATGGAATGAATGAATATTTTTACTTGAAATAATGAGTAAATAAATATTTATTCATTTTTCATATCAAAATTTTCTCAAATTGCAGATAAAATGCAGGTTAGGAATTCTTTAAAATCCTTAATCGAGAATTAAATCTGAAAGCACAGAACTCGTTTTACTTGATTTGCTTTAGAAAAGAGAAGAGCTGTAGTGTTTCTTAACCTGTAAATTACCCATCTACCAAAAATTTGCTAAAAACTTGCTAAAAATTCAATTCAGCTAAACTTTTAATCCATTTATCTGAAAAATCCAAAATTATCACCATTAACAATGCAAATGTCTACTAATATTAATTTAATTAAATATTTTTATGATAAATATGAAATATAATCTATGTTTCCATACATTATGAAACATCATAACAGACCAAAATTAAAAACAAAATTTTTTAAACACATCCTGCGCTGTGGTGCAGGATCGATCAACCAATCAATCTGCTTGACAATCGAAAATCAATCGACTTGAATGGAGCACATCAAGATTTAAGAAGCGTTTCTATTAATATGCAAGATATGAGAAACAAGTTTGAAGACATTATGAAAGACGCTGAGTTATTGCAAATAAATGGGGCATAGAAACTAAATTTGAAAAATAAAAGAGAAATAAAGAACCTAAAACACTGTCATTGTTAACAAATACGGAAATTATTAATAATGTTTCAAAAATAGAGAAAACATATAAAGAAAGCTTGCACTGGAAATACAACTTTTATTATTTATAAATACTTTCAGAACAGAAATCCAAAATTTGAAATCCGTTAAGAATTTAGCTAAATTAGCAATGGTAAAATATTATGACATGACAAGCAGTTATTCGGGAGTGTGCAATTCACTTATATTGTATTTATCATTACCTGTAACCACAGCCACGAGTGAGAGGTCATTTTCAATACTGAAAATAATAAAAACATATTTAAATAACAGTGTGACACAAGATCGGTTGTCAAACCTTTCACTATTGAGCGTTGAAGCTGAGATGGCTGAGAAAATGGACGTCCAAGTATTGATAAATAATTTTGCGGAAATGAAGGTTAGGAGATTAGGAGACGCAAATTTTAAAAGAAGGATTTTTTTCTTTATGATGAATTTTGGCCAGCAATGTTATCAATACACTTATTGAGGGAGAAAAAAATTAGAGAAGAAGAGCAGTACTGACTGAGGAAAATTAAAAGGAAACAGTAAAAAACTTTAGCATTCATATTTTTTATAAAAATCATGTATTCAAGTAGTTTAGTGTACCAAAAGGTTTTTTAAAAAGACTGAAAGAACTTTACCCTACATATTTTCTACAAAAATTGTATGTTCGAATAGTTTTCTTTATGGAGTTTATGATAAATATGTTTTATATTTAACAAATGTATCATTTACATTATAAGAGTTCTTATTTATTACTTGTATATTATTGCATAAATCATGTTTGTAACTGTACGTTTATCAATTATCTTATAACTAATTATTTATAAGTTTGCTAACTTAGCGAATTAGTTTGCCTATCTAAGCGAAAAAACTTAGATAGGCGCAGATTCTATATAAAAATTTGAAACATTAGTATGTAAAACTTCTTGGATTTTATATAAAAATCTCCGCAAATCTAGGCGTTCTTCCTTTTCTTAATGCTATTCGTCGAGATGTTCCTTTTTTATATAGACTTATTCATTTATTATCAGTATGCATCTCAGTGAAAGGAGAGAAAAATCTGTCTCTCGGAGTCACACAAAAAGTCTTAAGTAACTGAATTAAAATCATCTGACGTCAAATACCCAGACTAAAGCAAATTTTTTTTTCACCAGTTGGTCAAGGGAAATTATTTTCCTTTTTATTTTCATGTTACGTACGCTTCAACTGGTTCCCTAAAAACGTGCTTTTATTTTTTAACAATTAATCCAGATGTGATAAAAATCACCATGAAAACATTGGCTCCTGAAATCCTTAATTTTTTTTTTTTTTAAACTTTTCGCTTTTTTTTTTCCACATTAAATTTATTGGGAAAGGGGCCCAGCAAAATTTTTTGCATAGGGGCCCAAGAGTTCTAGTTACGCCACTGAACATCACAATATCTTTTGGGCAGCTGTTACGTAAGCCAGTTATGACACGAGAGGCACTAAGCTGTACTCTCTCCAATTTCTGGAGGTTAGTTGGAGATGCACAACAGTGAATAGGAAGGCCTTATTCCAAGATGGAATGGATAATAGCTGAATAAGTAGCTCTTAAAGTTCCTGCGTCAGCACTCCAATCTCGTCAGTATACTAAGCTGTTTCCTGCTCTTCAGCACTAATGCCTCCACATGCTTGTTGCTAGTAAATTCGGGATCTAGAGTAAAACCAAGATATTAGGTTGTCCGGAAAATTAATGCAGGTTTTTAACCTATATCTTTAAAGTATCATAACTCAACTCAAAGACAATTTTATTAATTAAAATAAGCACCAGCCGAATCAATGCATTTTTGGCAAAGAGATATTAAGTTTATTTGTGCCGGTAAAATAAAATTCTGGAGTTCTGGACGCGATAAATTTGTCAAAGGCGTTTTTGACCTCGTCTTAGTTTCTGAAGCATTTCTTCTGCAGAATGTTATCCAGATGTTTGAAAAAGTGGTAATTGGTTGGCGAGAGATCAGGCGAATATGGGAGAAGAGAGAGAGTCTCGTATCCCTGTTCGTTCAATTTTTGTAGAGACAGTTGCACGACGTGTGGCCAAGCATCGTCATGGAGAACTGGCTGCTTTCTGTTGACCAATGCCGAGCACACGCGTTCCAATTTTTGGTGCATTTTGTTGATTTGCTGACAATATTTATCTGCCATAATCGTTTCGCCCAGATTTGGAAGCTGTGGTGGATGAAAGCGGCCGCAGACCACCAAACAGTAACCATAATTTCCTTTTGGTGCAAATTTGGCTTTGGAAAGGTGTTGTGGTGTCTGACCATGGTCCAACCACTGAGACGAATGTCACCAGTTGTTAGAGAGAATCCACTTCAGCTGAAGAGCGTCAATGATGCTTTTGATCTTCCAGGTCAAATTCTCCACGACGAAACTTGAACCATTGAACTGTAGTTCATTAACACATTTTTAGCCCCATACTTCGTTGACATTTCGAGCCGTTTGTGCGGTACTGTGGCCTAGCTTATATTCATAAAAGTAAATTTGCAGAAAATCCTGTTTTGACATCTAAACAAAAACACTTAGTAAATATTTTTTTAAAAATTATTTTGGAACAAAATGATTATTATAGAAATATAGAGTGAAAATATAGCTTCAAAATGATATATAAAACAGTGTAATTCAAAATATTTTCATTGATAAAAATGTACAGGAAAGATAAACAATTGCAAAAACCTGCATTATTTTCCGGACAACCTAATATTTAGGATGTTTCTCGAACTTGAGAGGTATATCAGCCATAAAAATTTTTGGCTTAAATTATACAACAGCTTATTAGTAGTAAAAAAGCTGGCAATAGATTTAGTTGGATTAAAAATCAGCTTATGATCTTTGGAAAAGCTCCACATGTGTGCTAGGGTAAAATTAATATTAGACTCAATTTTATCCACATCTGAGCCAGAGCTCCAGAGGGCAGTATCATCTGTATATGACTCCACATCTCTCCTTTATTACTTTTTCAGCACCAGCCAAATACAGGGAGAAAAGAATAGGGCTTTGAGGTACTTCTTGACTCATCTTAAAGCTATTTGACATGGTAGTATTAAGCTTTACTCTGAACAATCTGTATCTCAAGAAATCATAGATCCAAGATAAAGGCCTTTCCATTAATACCAAAAACCTTGTATAGTTTAAGAATCAATTTATGTTTCCAGACCCTGTAAAATGTCAAATGTTGAAATTACAGTAAATGTTGTAATTCTATTTGAGGATTCATGAATAAACTCAAAAAATAATTTCTGCAGTTTAATGTTGAAATAAAACATATAAATCTGTATGCTTAGATTGTGTCTTTTTTATAAACCTTAAAATTTTCTTTAATCATATGATAGATTGATCGATCAGATGATGAAGAGGCATTCCTTCCATATATCATGGCAACGCCTCGTCGAGGATCCGGAGTGGGACGTTCGTCCAGCAGACCAGGAACCCCAAATGTACTGGCTATATGTGTATTTTTTCTAAACATGCTTTTTAAAGTTAAATTTTATCTATTTAAAGATTTAAAAATATCTTAGCATTAGCAAAATTGTCCTGGTTCAAGCGTTATCTTTTTAACATTGACAGAAGTAAATTGCTGGCCATTAAAATTGCAATGCTAAATGCAAAAGATAACATGCTATGTTTATTTTAGATGCTTTGTTGTATGAAAATGAAATCTTTTAAAATTTCAGGTACATTAAACAACAGAATGTGCTGTCATCATTATCAAATGTTACCTGTACAAATGGTAGTAACTGTTGTTGTATGGCAAGACACAGAGACTGTGAATGGTATTTTGGGATATCACAATATAGGCTGCTGTAATTTGCTGCCATAGTTTATCTTTAGTAATGACTGGTGATAACTGTCACATTGTTGTTTTTGACAGTATAGATCAGAAAGTTTCAGTTGGGGAAACTGTGAATATGCTGGTTACATTGGGCCTATTACTGTGTGTCAAAGAAGTGTTTGATGTTATTTTGTTAGTAGATAGTTTTAAGGTGCTTTTTAAGATACAGTCAAACATCATTAATTCGGACACCCATAATCCGGAATGATCTATAATCCGGACATCAAAGCTAAAACCTTTCTGCGCATGCGCCGCGTTGACACATGCGCATAGGCGTATACACGTGCGCGCAAGACCTTTTACTACTGCGCATATGCGTGTGCGCAAGTGCAGAAAACATTTTCGCGTGCGCGTTTTATGTATAACGGACGGTATAAGCAAAAATTATCTAATTATCTATTTCAGTTAATGTTGATGATTGCATTGTTCCTTAATCTTCGAATTGGATCCGGCTTATTATTTTTTGCAGACTGTAAGAGCAATTTTATAAAAGTAAACTTGAACTTTCGATTATGTCAAATAGAATTTCCGATTTTGGAGCTCCCAAAGGATCGTACAAAACGAAAGTATGTTTCGATGTCCATCAAACAAAAAGTGGAATTGCTGCAAAAAATGGATAAAGACATGAAAAATGTGACAGAGAGGTTAGTGAAAACGAAAAAAGTTCGATTGACAAGTTAGTCGGTATTCTCGGCACAGCAATTAACGGGACTAGAACAGCGGAACTTTGTAACTGAACAAGAAATCATGTCTGTTTATAGAATTAAAGAGACAGTATTATCACATAAAACGAAGCAACTTAAACAACTTACATTGAAAGAAATGTTTAATAAAGTAAACAAATAAATATTAAGCCTTTTTTTTTTTTTTTTTTTGTAAATTTTGATACCCTTTAGATTATAATTGTTCTTTATTTCATAAATTACGGTTTCATATTTTTAATTTTAGAATATCTGCATGCCATCTTACCAGATTTAAACTGATGATCTATAATCCGGAAAAATCGATAATCCGGAATTGCCGAAGTCCCGACGAGTCCAGATTAATGACTTTTGACTGTATAAGGGAACCAACCATATAGACCTTAGCATGTTTATTATGTAATTTTGAGTTATCAGAATGCCAAGTGTGTATTCTAGATGTAAATGGGACTTGCATTTAATTTCACCCCATATTATGAATTCCAGTGCTGGACTAAAATTATGACACATAAGACAAAATTTCAGCGAGTGCTTCCCATAGTGACTCCTTACGGATGTATGATGCATACAGAATTTCTGCCAATTTAAGCTTGCAGTTTTGATTAATTTAAAATTTCTTAACTATTTTTGACATTATCTTGGATACTTTTAGAACATTTAAAGTCGCTTTCTAGGTTTTACTCTGTGTCCCTTTTGAGATCTTTTAGGTATATATTGAAGCTGAAACAGTAATTTCTGTTTGTAGTTGTATTGATTTCTGAAGGGATGTATTTACTTGACAAAAATGCAGGGAGTAATGGCCTGAATTTTCTGTTTGGAAGAGATAAACAGTTAAGGCTCAATGGCATGAAGATTAATAGTTCACCCTGTCCTGTTATTTGCTAACACGTTCGCTCACTGACGTGCTGCCGCATCAGCATGGAGCTACCTCATATGCAAGTGACGCTCTAGGATGATAATCAACTGTGATAAGTTATATGCTTTATCTTTAATGCTGCTTTGGAGGTTGAACGAAGAGGTTTTGGAGGCATGTTATAGAAGCATTATTTTTATATTTTAGGTGTGTGGTTTTTAAATTTTGTGTTTCAATTTTTTTATGTCTGTTTTTAAAAATGGTGGATAGTACAAGTATTGTCAGGCCTTCACAGATTAAGAAAAGGGAAGTAAATAAAAAATTGACTTAAGCCTAAATATTAGAATTACTAGAAATTCTGATTATGACACTACAGACAATGAAGATTACGGTTAGGATTCTATGCGTGAATCAGAAGGATATAGTGATGTTGCAGGTGAACACCATAGAAATGTCGGATTCTGACACAGAAGACGCAACCCAGAAATTCCCGGTAATCGGAAAGAACAGTCTTGTTGACTGGAAACGGATTTAAGTTGTATGATAAGTCATACATTTAACAAAAACTGAGTCCTTGCTAATATGCCAACTGAAAGGCAGCTAATACAGCCAATTAAATTTTTTTTTTCATAAATTTGACTTCTTTTTGTACAATTATACTTTTTATTTCTTTTAAGCTGTGACTGTTCAATGTGTCAATAATTTCGGAGAAAAATGATGAGGCGCATTAGAGCGTCAGTGACACACAGATGATAAGTTGAATGTGATGTTCTATTGACGCTCTAGAGCAAGGATGTCAAACTCGCGGCCACAACAAATATTTTTGCGGCCCGGCCAATATATCGGCAAATAATAATATATAATAATAAAATAACATGTCGACGAAGAAAAAAAATGAAATGTTTACTGCTAAGTAATAACCGATACTTTATTCAGTGTTGTTAGATTACTCACAGCGAGCTGACACACATACTACTTAAATTACAAATGCGTGTGAGTAGCTTGCGTTCAACTACCTTTGGCTTTTGGGGGACATGTGCACTCAGAACTTGTACGCATCCCCCGATAGCCGAATGTGGCCGAACTCATGGTCTCGGTTTTCCAATCATAGTTTTGTACAATATATTGGTACATGCATGTGCATGCACTTTGCGTTATTATTAATTATTAAAACAATCTGCTTGATATGTAATAATACTATTAATGTACCAAAGTTATATAATATTAAACGTCATTACAAACAACACAAATCGAAATATAACAATTACGAAGGATTAATGAGAGAAGAAAAGTTGAAAGAGCTCAAGTTAGGAGTGAAAAAGCAACAGTCCACGTTTAGTAAAGTATTGCAAGAAAATGAAGCGGCGATACATGCAAGCTACGTCTTGTCCGAGTTGATAGCTAAACATTCGAAGCCTTTTACTGACGGTGATTTCATCAAGGAATGCCTAATGAAAGCTGGAGAAATTGTTTGTTCTGGAAATGTGAAAGCTTTTCATTCAATTTCATTGTCTCGAAATACATTTGCGGAAAGAGTTACTGATTTAGCCGCGAATTTAAGTGATCAGATCAAAGCAAAATCATCTAGTTTCGAAAGTTTCTCCATTGCCTGTGACGAGAGCACGGACATTAGTGGCAAAGCTCAATTAGCATGTTTCTTCGTTCTTGTGACAAGAATTTTAACATTTTTTTGAGGAATTACTGGAACTAATACCGATGCCTGGTACTACCACCACCGGAGAAGATATATTTACTTGTGTTTTTGGAACTTCTGCAGAAATACAATCTACCTTTGGCAAAATTAAATTCTGTAGCTACAGATGGCGCTCCATCAATGACTGGGAAAAACAAGGGCTTCGTAGCATTACGAAGAAAAAACTTAGTGAAATTCACGGTTCAAACATTCATCATATGCATTATTGTATTATACATCAAGAAGTTCTATGCACGAAAGTAATAAATATGGAGAATGTTTTGTCATATATAAAAAAAGTTATAAATTTTATAAGATCTCGAGGTTTAAATCAGCGTCAATTCACTGCTTTCTTAAGTGAGTTAGATAGTGAATATTCAGGTTTGTCCTACTATACCGAGGTATGTTGGTTATCTTGCTTCAAGATTCTCAAACAATTCTGGGATTTAAAAGAAAAATGTCAGTTTTTAAAAATGAAAAATCAAGACGCAAGTTTGTTTTACGATCCAATATGGATACAAGATTTATCTTTCTTGGTTGATATAACCAAACACTTAACCGATTTAAATTTATCGTTACTAGGAAAAGATCATATCATTATGAACATGTTTGAGATAATTAAAGCATTCAAATGTCAACTAGTTCTTTGGGAAAACCAACTTAAAAATGAAGATTTGTCGCACTTCCCGGCGTGCAGCGTGAACAAATCAAGTTTAGATGATACTTGTTCGTATCAAAAATACGCAGAAAAAATTGCAAATTTAACAACTGAATTTGAAACGAGGTTTAATGATTTTAGTTCCCTCGAAGACAATTTTTTTTTTTTTTTTTTTTTTTTTTTTTTTCTGTTTTCTTCGATTTTCTCAATAAGTATTGATTCAGTACCCAGCCATATGCAAATGGAGGTGATCGAGATTCAATGCAACTCAAATTTGAAAGCAAAATTCATTGAAGTGGGCGTGCCTAAATTTTACAAATATTTACCAGCCAGGTTTGAAAATACTCGAAAATTCGCATACGAAATTATTTCTATGTTTGGTAGCACTTATCGGTGCGAGCAGTTATTTTCAGTCATGAAAGGTAATAAGTCTCCTATTAGAAACCGTATTAATGATGCTCAGCTTGGGTCAGCGTTGAAAGTTATCACTGCAAACAAAATTTCTCCCGAAATAGGAAAGATAATAGCAGAGAAGAGATGTCAAATATCAGGACGTAAACATTAAATTTTTCTTGTTCTTTGAATATTGATTTTTTTTTTTTGTTTTGTTTTTGTTTTGCAGCCCGCCTAAAGTTAAACCTTGTTTGTTTGGCCCAAGTGTACCTATGAGTTTGACATCCCTGGTCTAGAGCGTCGGAAAAACATTTTTACACTAAACATAAAAATAAAATGTTTTCCCATTTTTCTGGTTTTACTGCTAAAATATAAGGAACATTTTTAATCATTAAAACAATATTTTGTAATTCGGCTTGTCATGATGGCTATGTCAATTTTACTGGCAGTGAATATGTTAAAAGAAAAAAGAGACATTTATATCAACATCTTTTCTAGCTGTGAATGCCGTGGCTTTGATTTTGGTCATCTTAATCCTAGACTTAAATTCATATAAATGGAAAATTAAATTTTTCTCTTAAGTATGAAGTTTCAAAAATAAAGAAAAAATAATGTACAAATATTTTTCTATTTTTGGATTAGCATCATTTGTTGCCATGGATTGGTGTGAAAAAAAGGTAGCTCTGTTGAAGTACATGTCTAAGAAAATTAGATAATAAATTTTGAATAGAAGGCAAATAATTAGTATGGATGAAGTGCCCAAACTTTTAACTGTCCTTCAAACAGAACTGTTCATTACAGGTGAAAAAAAAATGCTAACGAATGGGAATGAAAAGATTTCTTTTATTTGTGTTCTGGGTTGTGCCGTCAACGAAGGGAAGATGAACTCCTGTGATAATTTTCAAAAGATAATGGTTCTGGAAGCAAACTTTTCTGAATGGCGGATTGTTTGCGCCAACAAAAAAGCATGGATGTGCGAAGTGTTGTTGTTTAGACTAAGAGAAATTTATTGTAAAAGGGGAGATGCTTTTTTCCAACCTCGGAGGACTGGATATAATGCAATCCCATTTAGTGGATATGGTAAAATCTAAAAGAAAAAAAACTTAGCACTGATGTCTCAATGGTATTAGGTGGATTAAAAAAAAAAAAAAAAAAAAAAAAAAAAAAATTACAGCCACATAAAATTTTGAAACATAAACTATAAAAATGAGGGGAATGAATGTGAAGGGGACTCCATTCCTTCACCAATTTGAAACGGATGAGAAAAGCTTGGTATGAGAAAGCTGCCTTGTGGGTCGATAAAGCATTGCAGTCAGTTTTGTATCAACCTTTATTAAATCCAAAATCATTGAAAATGAAGATAGTCACGTTGAAAGAAGTAATTTAGAACAGAATGATAAAAATGATCTTGATGATCATTTGTTAAATTTATTTAATTCTACATTAATGAGTTTGATTTTGAAGGTTTTGTATAAATAAATATAATTAATTATAAAATTCTGTTTGATTATCTGATGTACATGTTCTTTTTCATAACATGGTGATAAGCAAAGTTTACTGAACACATAAAAATAATGTGCATTTGAAATCAGCAGAGTTTATTTTGGGGAAGTTCAAGGCAGGATGTTTGTTTACTTTTATATTGCTGATTATGTTGTAAATGTTATAAAATGTCATTAATGATGATTACATAAATATGGGAGGGAGTTGCTGATGAAATGAACATTAAATGCAGTGTTTCGAAATGCTTTGCTGCTGCATATATGGCAGTGCAGTTTATCTGTTGAACTTAATTTTTTTTAAGTCAAGTATCATGTGTGTGACAGGGTGGCTTATCTACTCGAAATTGTAATAAGTGTTATAATTGGATTTGATTGAGGATTGGTAAATAAATTCAAAAAATAATTTCTGCAGTTTAATGTTGAACAAAAAATAAATAAATCTGTATACTTAGATTGTGTGTGTGTGTGTTTTTTTTTTTTTTTTTTTTTTTTAATATACCTTAAAAAATTATTTAATCTTATGATAGAATGATTTGTAAGTGGCAGGCTTTCTTTTTAAATCTTTCCTCCTTTTAAATAAAGGCTATTAGTGCTACTGTTATTTAATTACAAACAAATATTGAATGATGATAAAATGTAATAATGCATGATATATTCATAATTTTACCCCTTTTGAATACAGAGTAATAGGAGGTTAGAAACTCGAGCACGTGGATCATACCGTATTGATGCAAGATGGCGTGTGGCAAGTCTGTTTGGTGACGAGACAAGCACTACTCCTGGAACAAACTTCTATTTTACTAATGGTGATGATTATGAGGTTAGTTTTAAATTTATCAAAGCACCTATATATGGGTCCCTATATATGTTCCTTATATAAGTCCTATTTTGAGGAAGTATTCTGCATAATTTTATATGCAATAAAATTGCAGTGTTTAAAAAAATTGCAGTGTCTTAAAAATGCAATAAAATTGCTTTTTTAAGATTTATAGTAATTTGTTTTTGAATGTTAATCATTCAGCCTGTCCAGTTTGTGTGTAGAGATTTGTAGATGTGTATTAGGATTAACACTATTAAAAAAAAATCAGATTTTGTTTGTCACTTCTTCTTCTTCCATTATGTAAATACTTCTCAATCTTTTAATGATGTCAGAAAGTCTTAAATAAAGTCTCCCCAAAATTTTTGAAGAGTACACTTTCACTACTATGTATATTGTGTATGTATGTACATCAGGGATGTCAAACTCATAGGTACACTTGGGCCAAACGAACAAGGTTTAAAACTTTAGGCGGGCCGCCAAAAAAAATCAATATTCATAGAAACGTAGATTTATTTCGAATAATACAATAATAAACATATATATATATTTATATAGAAAAGAACAAGAAAAATTTAATGTTTACGTCCTGATACTTGACATCTCTTCTCTGCTATTATCTTTCCTATTTCGGGAGAAATTTTTTGTTTGCAGTGATAACTTTCAACGCTGACCCAAGGTGAGCATCATTAATACGGTTTCTAATAGGAGACTTATTACCTTTCATGACTGAAAATAACTGCTCGCACCGATAAGTGCTACCAAACATGGAAATAATTTCATATGCGAATTTTCGAGTATTTTCAAACCTGGCTGGTAAATATTTGTAAAATTCAGGCACGCCCACTTCAATGAATTTTGCTTTCAAATTTGAGTTGCATTGAATCTCGATCACCTCCATTTGCATATGGCTGGGTACTGAGTCAATACTTATTGAGAAAATCGAAGAAAAAAAAAAAAAAAAAAAAAAAAAAAAAAAAAAATGTCTTCGAGGGAACTAAAATCATTAAACCTCGTTTCAAATTCAGTTGTTAAATTTGCAATTTTTTCTGCGTATTTTTGATACGAACAAGTATCATCTAAACTTGATTTGTTCATGCTGCACGTCGGGAAGTGCATCAAATCTTCATTTTTAAGTTCTTTTTCCCGAAAGAACTAGTTGACATTTGAATGCTTTAATTTATGTCAAACATGTTCGTAATGATATGATCTTTTCCTTGTAACGATAAATTTAAATCGGTTAAGTGTTTTGGTTATATCAACCAAGAAAGATAAATCTTGTATCCGATATTGGATCGTAAAACAAACTTACGTCTTGATTTTTCGTTTTTAAAAACTGACATATTTCTTCTTTCAAATCCCAGGAATTGTTTGAGAATCTTGGAGCAAGATAACCAACATACCTCGGTATAGTAGGACAAACCCGAATATTCACTATCTAACTCACTTAAGAAAGCAGTGAATTGACGCTGATTTAAACCTCGAGATCTTATAAAATTTATAACTTTTTTTATATATGACAAAACATTCTCCATATTTATTACTTTCGTGCATAGAACTTCTTGATGTATAATACAATAATGCATATGATGAATGTTTGAACCGTGAATTTCACTAAGTTTTTTTCTTCGTAATGCTACGAAGCCCTTGTTTTTCCCGGTCATTGATGGAGCGCCATCTGTAGCTACAGAATTTAATTTTGCCAAAGGTAGATTGTATTTCTGCAGAAGTCCAAAAACACAAGTAAATATATCTTCTCCTGTGGTAGTACCAGGCATCGGTATTAGTTCCAGTAATTCCTCAAAAATGTTAAAATTCTTGTCACAAGAACGAAGAAACACTGCTAATTGAGCTTTGCCACTAATGTCCGTGCTCTCGTCACAGGCAATGGAGAAACTTTCGAAACTAGATGATTTTGCTTTGATCTGATCACTTAAATTCGCGGCTAAATCAGTAACTCTTTCCGCAACTGTATTTCGAGACAATGAAATTGATTGAAAAGCCTTCACATTTCCAGGACAAACAATTTCTCCAGCTTTCATTAGGCATTCCTTGATGAAATCACCGTCAGTAAAAGGCTTCGAATGTTTAGCTATCAACTCGGACAAGACGTAGCTTGCATGTACCGCCGCTTCACTTTCTTGCAATACTTTACTAAACATGGACTGTTGCTTTTTCACTCCTAACTTGAGCTCTTTCAACTTTTCTTCTCTCATTAATCCTTCGTAATTGTTATATTTCGATTTGTGTTGTTCGTAATGACGTTTAATATTATATAACTTTGGTACATTAATAGTATTATTACATATCAAGCAGATTATTTTATCTTTTATTTCACAGCAAAAATATTCTAATTCCCATTTTACTTGGAATATTCTATGTTCGTCAGCGATTTTTCGTTTAATTTTACTACCACTTGGTTTTGATATAGACATACTGAATACAAGGGCTGGAATAAACACGGTTAACGTTAAAAAGTTAACAAAAATTTATTCTTTCCACAAGAGATAAATCAAAATGCTGAATATTTCTTCAAAAATATTCTAACAATATCACAAAATGTCAAACGTTTAGCAAAAATCAATTCAAAACAGAGAAACTAATTCTATCTCACAGCGAAATCGCTACAAATCAATCACAGCATTAAGTAAACAAACAGTTCGCTAGAACTACAGCTACTACTGAGATGAGTTGTTTGTTCTCGGCTTTTATAAGCTTTATAATTAATTTCTCGAATATACTGGAAAAATCTATAAATATCTGGATTTTTGTGGATGGCAACAGCAATTACGAGATATTTATTTATTAGGTATTAAATGCACGCGCTGTTCTATTTTTAACCTTCCAACGCAGCTGTCTTTTCAAAAATCGTCTGCGTTGCTAAGGCAACATGAAGCAAATCTAATTACAATTCTAAATAAAAAAAACTTACTAAATAAATAACTATGAAATCCGTGTGCATGCACTTTGCTTGCATGTGCATGCACCAATATATCGTACAAAACTATGATTGGAAAACTGAGACCATGAGTTCGGGCACATTCGGCTATCGGGGGATGCGTACAAGTTCTGAGTGCACGTGTTCCCCAAAAGCCGAAGGTAGCTGAACGCAAGCTACTCACACGCATTTGTAATTTAAGTAGTGTGTGTGTCAGCTCGCTGTGAGTAATCTAACAAAATAAGTGCGTATTTCATATTTGATTTCAGAACCTATTCCAACAGTATATGATGGAATTTTTTATATCAGTATATTCTTGAGCATATGTGGACCATCACTATTCAACTGTAAAGTTTAAGTTCAGAAAGTTTTGTGTTTTTTATAAATTCATTAGTACTAATGATTTTACAGTAGTGTACATAATAAATTGAAAATGATAAGAAAATATTCAAAAGCTAGTATGAAATCATTAGAATATATTTTATTTTTCTTATTTATGAAATGACTGAGATAGATTATTTATGATAGCACCTTAATGATCTATATTACTGCACTCTTTCAACCTAAAAAAGAGTTATTTATGTCTGTTTTCAAATATATGGCCAGTATTGTAAGGTATTTCTCCCGCCTTCTTAGCGAGCCTTTGTGGTGTAGCGGTCTGCACGCTGAGCGCGTAATTGAGAGGTCCTTCGTTCTATTCCCCGCGAAGGCATTGCTAATTTTTCATCTTGCTTGCTCCCCCCCCCCGAAAAAAGACACCTAATGTCTCTACAGTCTAAAACTGCAGTTTCAGTGCTTGTTTTTTACTGTGAGCTTACTTAAACAAATTGAAGAAAATACCTGCAATCTAATGAAAGTAGTAGTGTTACTGCATATTTACTCCACACTGAGAGAAAAAATGAGATTTCAATTAATTTTCCATCCATTGCATTGAGACTGAGTAACTGAGTAATAGACTATTTTTCCAGAATTGGCATTGAAGGAGAATATATGAAAATATGCAACTATTTTATAAATTGTGAATTCCATATTCAAACTTTTAATTTTGATCTACATCTAATGAAACTTGACCAGCTATGAGAAAGAGAGAGAGAGATCAGACTATTTACCACATGCAAAAAGTATAAACAATAATTCAATTCATATGTTGCTTCCTTTTTTTTCTTTCAGATCAAGATCAAGGGAGTTTTAGCAAGAAAGTGTGTGATCTGCAATTGAATTAGGTTGGGCTTATCTAGTGCAGAAAATTAAACCTTGTAAACCATTATGTTGCTTATGTGATTTCTACATTACTGTCTTCCCTGCATGCAGTGCCAAAATCAATTGCCATAAGACAGTAAACAGCAAACTGATATCGCAAGACAATTGAACAGCTTACATGGTTTTCTATCATAGACTTGAAAAATCTTCCTGAAGCATTAGCAATATGATTAGGTATTGTTATTTTTTGCTAAAATATATGTCAGAGAATATCAGAATTAATAATTCATTCTTCCTGGAAACTTCATTTTATAGCATATTACTTTAAAAAAAAGTTATAGTAGTATTAGATACTTATTTCCAGTATATGTCTGTTTTATGAAACAAGCATACAAAACAGAAAGTAAATCAAAAGTTCATATGATTATGTTGCACTACATAAAGCTGAAAAGTGTATGACGTAAAATGCATTGGAAAAGACAATAAGAACTGAAAAGAAACTGAAGGACTGTGCATCTAAGCAATAAATATTATATTGTTTTAAAAACAGTAAAGTTAGCTGAAATTTACAGGAAATCTATGAGAATGTACTATGATTTATTATCAGATTAAGAAATAAGAAATATTTATTAAATATTCACCACTGCTATTTTGATTAAGCAAAATATGATTTAAGAAGAAAAGTAGTAATTCATCATGAATTGGAATTTCTTAAAATCTCAATAATTCTTATGCAAATCCTATTACTACTGTAAGTTTTTATAAAATTGGAACAAAGTTGTTAATGAATTTACATATTTTTATTAACTTTCTTATCTGATCTGATCCTGGTCATTACAGTCTGCAATCTGATGCAGGTCTTCTT